GCTTGGCGCCACCGCGACTGTCCAAGTCGGGATCAAACGAGATCAAGGCACTTCCTCTCCCACTCTGCCGCTGCTCTGTGGTCCCTGGTTGGTTGCAGCCTGCTGAAAATCGATTCCCCGAAACAAGGAATTTCCTTTGCAATTAGCCATTGAATCAAAGTAATTTTCCCATGATAAACTTGAAAAAAAAACATGAAAAAAAATGAACCTTTGAAAAATCTGTTCAACTCAAGGAATGGTTTGTCGTTGGACAAAAGAAATTCCTCTGAAACAAAGGAAAAATTTTCGTTGTGTTTTTCCAAGGCTACAGTTATACTGTACAGCATGCACGCGTGTGGGCTGGTTGCCTACTCGCTCTGCCATAAGGCGCCTTGTCGTGAGCAACTCCGCCAACTTACTTGTGGGTCTTCACTTTTCCTTATTTCGATGACTGCCGTTCATTTCGATGGACGGTAGTTGCCTACCCTGCAGGCGCCCCCTGCCCCCTCTCTTTAATATACACACACACGCACACGGCGGCAGGTCGTCACCGTGTGGGCCGGAGTTTGGCCCCGGAGCCGGGGAGGGAGTGAGAGAGAGAGAGAGACTCTCAAGTGACTGAGTGGCCGGCCGCTGCCCAGTTTATGAGGTGATGAAAGTAATCAGGTTGGAGCGGAATCCAATCTCTCTCTTCCTCTCTCGTCCCTCCTCTCTCCTCCTCCAGGTCGGACTACACACACCTCTTCACCATATCATCTCTGCCTTTTTGCTGAGATACAAACACAACAATATATACATATGCGTGTGTGTGTGTGTGTGTGTGTGTGTGTGTGCAAAGACGATTCCCCGGGTGCGTGCGGACCCGACGCGGGCGCGTATAAGCTGTCGATTTACTGCGGGATTTAACGCGTGGCATTTTATTTTGCGAATTTTTGATGGCTGAAAAAGGTCTTATTGAGATTGTGACTGAGAGTTATGGAGGAAAAAAAACACACACTTTTGTTTTAAAAAATGTGTTGTTGTTTCTTGTTCCTGTCGCGCGTCTTTCCCTTTCTCTCTCTCTCTCTCTCTCTCTCTTTCTCGCACACCTAGGGTTCCCGGGGCCTCTGTTTTACTGACCCGTTCCGAGTGCAGCGCCGCGGCAGCCTGCCAGAGGGGCGTAACTGCTCTAGGCGCACCTGAACCCCCTCCGGCCCGCGTCCTGCCCCGCCGCACCCTGCTGGCCCCGCCTTGACCACGCCTCTCACCGGGACTCCGGTGACGAGAGGCTGGCATACAGAGAGTGTTTTATTGCACGGCCGTAGGATGGGCTGCCCCGCCCGAGCGAGCGACCATTAAGCAACGTGAAATTTGAGCAGCACTAAAGGCAAAATTATGTCCGCTAGGCGGCCATCACTCTAATGGACGGGCGAACACGGGCGGCAGCGGCGGCCATCGCACCGGCGCGTAAAACGAGATAATTCGAAATTACGCGCGCTTTTTGTCGCGCTGATTATATTTCTGCCCCTCCACGACCTTCGTAATTATAATATCGCCTTATGCACAAACAAATTATTCTTGCAACATAATCAAGTGTTTGCGCGGACCTTCATAATAATTCTTCTTCTCGTGCGAAAACTTTGCAAAACGCTTGATGATTATGATGGTGATGGTAATGATGATATTTTTGCGCGGCAGCGTTTCTGTCCGAGTCGCGGCGTGCGGTGTTTGTTCGGCTCCACTTTGCTGCCCCGAAGCCCCATGTTGCATTAATGCACCTCTTCCTGCCGCTCTGCGGACCGTGTAAAATGCGCGCGCGGGGAAGTACCTGCTTCGAGCACTGCTTGCGCGGGGTATGTGCGAGCGCGTGTTATATTGCGTGCCTGCGGGAAAAAAAAACTTAAAACTTCAAAGTATTTGCCGCTGATGTATACCGTACCGTGTGTACCGCCGCAGCATATAGCTCAAAAAGACGCAAGGGATGTTGTGCTGCGCAAAAGTGTGTCTTAATTTCTTGAGCCGTCTGTTACTTTCCCTGGATGATATGGAACATTATATGTTGATGACCGGTTGATGATCATTGTTTATGTACTGATGATGAGGTCGACGACAACGGTGATGATCATATGAATGGAGATTGATCACGATGATAACTTAATTAACTTAACACGCTTAATTGGAACCCTGATGAAAATTATCTGTTCGTTTAAAAATTTAGAATTAACTTTTCCGTTCAAAAAGTTATGTTTAAGCAAACAAACAAACAAAGAAATAGTTCCGAGCTATACTGTTCCCTGCGAAATTCAGCACCAAGCGAGACTTTAAGTGATAGGCTTCTGATCAAAACTTAAGAGAAGTGTCGTTAAATTGCGATTGGATCACAAGCTTGAATTGCTAGCATCAACAGCTCCAAGAAATATCATTAAATCGCTGATCGCTGGTACTGTCAGGTTGAA